ATACAGTGAAAAAGTCTGGCTCAGAAGAAGACCTGTACATGAAATTGTGGACGCTAAGAGAGACCCTGCTGAAGCTCGGCTTTCCCGAGAAGAAAGTAGAGGATTCATTAAAACATCTCTTACACTATTTTTCTGGTAATTTTGCCACTGCTAATAGGGACATGGTGTGTAATCTGGACGAGGCTCTAGAATGGCTGGCAATGCACTGTACCCCTAAGGAACTACCGCCTTACACGCAAACCAATGCTCAGCTGCGCAAAGATGAAAAGAATCTTTCCTGGATAACCGGTAAACCTAAAAAAATGACTGGCATCTACGCAGTGACTGAAGAGAGCTAACCGGCATCAGATCGTGAGCCAGCACAATCTTCTACTTTAAACTTGACCCAGAATGATAGCAAAGTGAAGCAGACCAAAAGACCATCAAAGGAGCCTCTTCCTTCTATATCGAGCCCTTATGATTCTGATAGTTCTCTGGATCCTGACACTTTGCTGCCAAAGTATTTGGAATTGCAGGCTCAGCTATATAATCTTCAGCCTGAAATCTTTGATAAGCCTAAGAAAGGGAAAAAGCCTGCTCGTGAAAATATTGGGCTTGATAGCAACGAACCCCTTGTAGTGAAGATTCGCCGAAAGATTACCGGCATTGAAAATGATGTCCTTTTCGACCGCACAGAAGCTGAGTACCGGTGGAAAGAGAAGCTTGATGATCTAAGAAAGGAGGCGGCTTTCTTCAGGCAGAATCAGCCCCCCGAGCAAACTTCCCCGGACGAGCCCGGAACCAAGGATCAGCCAGAGGAAAAGGTGGCGGAACTCAAGTCCGACGTCGATGATGAGGAGATCGCAGGTCTCTTAGGGGACATGTTCCAAGCCGAGGAGCCAGCATTGGAGACAGGTGTTATACTTGAAGAGTTGAACAAAGCCGCTATAACGATCCGTGACTTTGGAAAATGGACTGGACTTAGTCCTCGACGAGTTTTGGAAGAAACATGCAAGGCAAGGTATGCAAAGGTCTTCCATGGATGAAAATAGGCTATGCTGACAGTAGCGGCACATTCTAGGGATACCAGTTGTACAATTATTTTCAAGGACTTCTCATCTGCATCACACTCAACCAGAAAAGCGGTAGAGGTGAGGTGGTCCAAACCACAGGATGTGCCATTTCTGTTTGAATGGGACAAAGTCACACACAAATCTAGCGCTTATGCCACCTTTGTCTCCATGGACACGATAGCCACACCAACCGCACAGCAAGCGGAGGCATTTGTCTCGACGCTTGCCCTTTTTATCCTATTTCCGCAGAACTCGAAGGAGGGCAAGGCTTATATGCGGCTTCCATCAGTGTGGAGGGAGCTCTGGACCGAGTTCGCGAATGCGAAAAAGCTCCAAGAGGATGAAATTGATAAGAAGACAATAAAGCATCTGAAGAAGCTAATACAGGAGAACCAGGGTAACTTTGAAGATGATGTGGTGCTATCAGATAATTTCCGGAGACGACATGGGACCTCTAGCAAACCAGAGTCTCCAGCCAGGTCATCCAATGCAAGGGAAGCTTCAGGCCCCGAGTCTCAATTGCAAAGGATTTGGATGGAGAAGTCATCAACTCCTTCTTTTAATAATATGGTGCAAGGAAGAATGAACCTTCCGATCTGGGCTTTCAAGAACGATATACTGAACACGCTTGATACCCACCGCGCGCTCATCATTTGTAGTGAGACCGGTAGCGGAAAGAGCACGCAGATACCTTCATTTATCCTTGAACACGAGATGACACAAGGCCGTCCCTGTAAGATTTATGTGACGGAGCCCCGAAGGATCTCTGCTATATCATTAGCGCGAAGGGTTAGCGAAGAATTGGGGGAAAGCAAGAATGATGTCGGGACAGCCCGCTCGCTCATCGGGTTTGCTGTCAGATTAGAGAGCAAAGTCAGTCAGTCGACAAGACTAGTATTTGCGTAGGTTCACCATCTACAACTTCGTTTCTGGAGATTATACTGACTAGGGTTAGGACAACTGGTGTTGTGGTGCGCATGCTGGAACGTCCAGACGATTTCCAAGATATCACGCATGTCGTTCTTGATGAGGTTCACGAACGTTCTATCGACAGCGACTTCCTTCTCATAGTCCTTCGTCGACTGATGCAGAGGCGTCCTGACCTAAAATTGATTCTAATGTCGGCTACTCTTGAAGCGCAAAGGTTCTCTAAATACCTCGGTGGCGTGCCTGTCCTCAATATACCAGGACGAACTTTCCCTGTGGAGATGAAGTACTTAGAGGATGCCGTGGAGTTGACCAATTACCGCCTATCAGAGAATGGTTCGAATACTAATCTCGATGAAGACACTGATGAGATGGCGCCAGAGAACACCGAAGGTGATACGACGGGAGGCATACTAGCATCGCTTGAAAATTATTCTAAGCAAACCAGGGATACTGTTCTGAACTTCGATGAATACCGTCTTGATTATCAGCTTATAAAGAAATTACTTATCAAGATTGCTACAGCGCCAGAGATGGCAAATTACAGCAAAGCTATATTGGTCTTTATGCCTGGTATGGCGGAAATCCGCCGCCTGAATGATGAGATTCTCTCGGAACCGATCTTCCAACAGGGATGGATCGTTCATGCGCTGCATTCTTCCATTTCCAGTGAGGACCAGGAGAAAGCATTCATTGTTCCCCCAGAAGGCATGAGGAAGATCGTAATTGCCACCAATATCGCCGAGACCGGTATGTCTCCCGCTATTGTTAAGAAGTAGCTATATCTGCCACAGGCTGTTGACTTGACTAGGTATCACTATTCCGGATATCACTGCCGTCATTGACACGGGCAAGGAGAAAACTATGCGGTGAGTCTTTGATCTCACACCTGTATCTTGCTGACTGACACTGTGATAGCTTCGATGAGAGGCGCCAGCTCTCAAGATTAGTTGAAGCCTTTATCTCGAGGGCCAATGCGAAACAAAGACGAGGAAGAGCTGGGCGTGTTCAGAATGGAATTTGTTTTCACATGTTCACGAAGCACAGGCATGAAAAATTGGTATGCTGACTATGTTGAGTCAGGCAGAAGATACTTCACTAACATTGTGTAGCTCGCTGAACAACAAACGCCAGAGATGCTTCGTCTTTCTTTGCAAGATCTGGTACTACGGGTGAAGATTTGCAAGCTCGGCGAGGTGGAATCCACTCTTCTTGAAGCCCTGGACGCACCTTCTTCCAAGAACATTCGCCGCGCTATAGACTCTCTCAAGGAGGTCAAAGCTTTGACAAATTCAGAGAATTTGACTCCATTGGGTATGCAGCTTGCCAAGCTGCCGTTGGACGTCTTTCTCGGAAAATTAATCATTCACGGGGCCTTCTTCAAGTGTCTAGATGCCTCGATTAGCATCGCAGCTATTCTCTCTTCAAAATCACCCTTTGTTAATACCATGGGATCTAACACACAGAAGGATCTTGCAAGGCTTTCGTTCAAGAAAGGTACTGCCTACCTTAGTCGATCCTATACCCACATGCTGAATTTTCGCAGGCGACTCTGATTTATTGACCGTGTACAATGCATATTGCGCCTGGAAACGAACGAGAAACACACCTGGCGCTAACGAGTATGCTTTTTGTCGGAAAAACTTCCTCAGCCCCCAGACATTGTTAAACATTGAAGATATCAAGATGCAGCTTATTGTGTCTATCGCTGACGCAGGGCTTTTGAATTTGGACCCGACCCAGAAAACGGCTCTGAATAGGTACGTCACATATCGCACCGATCACGCCTTTCCTACACTGCCTTGACTTCTTGATCGCAGAGCTAATATACACGCAGAGCTCGATACGGCGGTCGCCAGCGTCAATTTTTTACCATCCCTGAGGAGTACGATATCAACAGCAGCAACGACGTCATTGTCAATGCAGTTATTGCTTGGAGCTTTTACCCAAAGCTCCTGACCCGCGAGGGCAAAGGCTGGCGGAACGTTGCCAACAACCAATCTGTCACGCTTCACCCGACCTCAGTCAACAAACAGGCCGATGCATCCATCAAGTGGCTGTCATACTATCACATCATGCAGGGCCGAAACCGGAATTACAACGCTTTCGAGACAAACGCCGTGGACGACTTTGCCATTGCGCTGTTGTGCGGCGAGGCGGAATTCAAGGTAGGTTGAACTTCTGAAAAATCTGGAAAGGATTAGCATGGACTTGGCATCTAACCAAAACATAGATGTATTCCGGCGTAGTCTCAATTGACGCCAATCGAATCCGCTTCGCGGTTCGAGACTGGAAGTCCATGCTGGCGTTGAAAATCCTTAGCGCTCGCATACGGGACATATTATCTGGGACATTCCGGGATCCACAAAAAAAGCTGTCCTACAAGCAGCAGCAGTGGGTCCATATCTGGCAGCAGATATTTTCGCAGGTGGGGAAATGAAGCGCGCCGGCGCTATGAAGGAATGAAAGAAATGTGGACCAAGGGGGTCTATATTTGTTCTTTGTAGATAATGAACATACCATGCATTGCATTGCATTAGACCCAGTATATGGATGGATACACGGCAATGGCTCAGGGATATACAAAAGTATACAAGAATTGTTTGCATAGATTTCCAGTAAGAACCATCTATCAAACTCCTATAGTCTAATTGTATCGCACTGACCAGTCCAGAGATTAGCAACGATAAGAGCAGAATACGTTAACAAGTATCATCTTCAGTTTCCAATAAGTTAAAGGTACAAAAACTCATCACAGATAAGAAAAAACGCGAACCCCCCCCCCCTAACTCGACTTAGCCAAATCTGTAAACGACGCGCGCAGTTCTATCTTAGGAAACCCATTCACTCAACTCCAGGTCATCCAAATTCACCCTCGAGAACCCTTCTTCTACCATGAATTCAAGGGCCGCTATCGTTGACATCCTAATTTACCTTCTTTGTCCCCACAAGATACACAAACTGTAACCCAAGAGCACACCCCCAACAGCCAGCCCATCCCACCATCAATACCATCCAACAATGACCACCAAACCAATCAAGAATAACAACCAAGAGAAAAGCCAAAAGCAAGAAGAAGGACAAGAAGAAGAAGTAACAACAATGACCAACGAAGCGACTCCCTCCCCAGACTACAACAAAGAACTCCGAATCGCCTCCCTAGCAGTCCACCGCGCCAGCATCCTCACCAAAATCGTCCAAAGAGACCTCGACATAGGCCCCATCCTCAAACCCGACAGTTCGCCCGTGACCGTCGCCGATTTAGCCGCTCAGGCGATCCTCGTCAGCGTTCTCCGTCATCACTTCCCGAATGACGTGTTTGTGGGCGAGGAGTCTGCGCCTGTGCTTCGCGGTGACCCCCTGCTTGCGCGGCGGGTGTGGGAGCTTGCGTCTACAATGACGTGGGTTGATAATGATGATGATGGTCGGGCTTTGGCTGTGGGGCCACGATCTATAGAGGAGATGCTGGGTGCAATCGGTGGGGATGGAGCTAGGGGTCAGCGGACCTGGATTCTTGATCCGATTGATGGGATGGCGACGTTTATACGAGGACATCAGTATGCGGTTTCCGTGGCGCTGGTGGAGGATGGGGAGCAGAAGGTCGGTGTTGTCGGGTGTCCGAATCTGGCGTTTAAGAGCATTTCTGTCCATGAGGAGGTCGTCGATAGAGATGGGTATGGGATGATGTTACTCGCTGTCAGGGGTCAAGGTGCATACAAGAGACGGATGAGCCTGTCCAGTCTGGGGCCTCTGCAGAGGATTTCCCTGAGTCCGTGGCAAAGAATGGGGGAGAAAATCACGTTTACTGAAAGCTCGATCAGTGGTATTATCCATCAGGAGAAGCACAAGTTCATCAGGGACATATTATTCGCCAATCCGGTGGTAGACCTTTACTCTATGCAAGTCAAGTATGCAGCCTTAGCAATTGGTGCATGCAACGCGATGATTCGCCTTCCCAAGGACAAGGACCACCGGTTCCCTGCATGGGATCATGCCGGGGGAATGCTCATCTTTGAGGAATCCGGCGGCAAGGTTACTGACCTATATGGCCGACCTTTCAACTATGCTCTTGGGAGAAGCTTGGCTGACAATGAAGGCTTGGTGGCAGCTAAATCAGTGCTTCATACCGACCTTCTGCGCTATACACGCTATGTTTATGGGAGAAATAAGTCTAAGCGGTGCATGCAACCGACATGAATATAGGCGATTGTGCGGGTGTACAGCGCATTTTTACGCCATGATTGTATCAGTGTATGACACCTTGGCAGCGACAGAAGTAATTTACTGGAAAGAGTGAAACCTTGAAACCCGATAGTATTTTTTTTTAAATAAAACCCATACATAAAACACGAACAGAACCCAGGGCCTACTGGCCCTTGATGCATGAATGGAGAACGAGCCACAACAGTATAAAAACTCGTGAAAGGAAATTCGTCTCATCATGGTCGTTAAATATAGCCTGTCGGAAAATCGAAATAGCACAAGATGACCAGAAGCACCATAACGCTAACCAACCCTCATCCATAGAGAAAGCGAGAAAAGCAGGCCGGCGAAATTCCAACACTGCAACGACAACCCAAAACGCACGCCCCTTTCATAGCCGAAAGGGGGCAACCTCAGACATTATAACGATCGTAGCCAGACATCCATACCGTTTTCACAGTGTTATGTCCCATCTCTAACAATTACCCAACATAAACGCGCTGAAAAGAAACGGCTCGACAACATAACATAGCGTGTTCCCTGAAATGCAGATGTGTTGTAACCAACTGCTCATGAGAAACCAATCATCCCGTATGAAAGTGCCAAGTCGTACGAATGTGTAGTCTATTCAAGATAAAAGGAAAATGAAAACCCGGTAATGCATTTGAACACAAGGGATTCGGAGGTGACCCTTACACGGTCAGAAAGGAGTATCATGGTCTTCGTGTTTTTGTTGTTTTTTTCTCCCCTTTTGTTTGGTCCTCCGAAGCTCATGGAATCATGAGGAATATCACTTGAAGGCCTTATCGACGGCGAGACATAACTCCACCGGCCTTCATCGGCTGTAATCCAAGTGGTACTCCTCCAACAGGACCACCAACCGTCGCTTCAGTCAAAGTCTTTCGGCGCTTATTCTCATATTCCGCGCCCCGACTGTCTGGCCGAACTATTTGGTCCACATCGTCATCATCCCGCAAGCGCTTTCCGGACCCCAGGGATCCGTTCATCCCCGTCGAGTACCCGGGCGCTGGGTTGGACGCCACGGAATAATTATCAGTCGTTCCGTTCGCCGACGCACCGCGAGTTTCGCTGACACTGTTGTAGAGACTGCTGACAGCAGCTGGTCGGGGAGGCGTGCTGTATCCCGAAGCCCATTGGGGAGGCGCTCCGCTTGTACGGGGAGTCATGCGTCCGGACCCGTTCTGTTGCGAAGGGGAGCCAGACATATCAGACGCGAGTTGAGAATGATCACCTGCCAAACTTCCAACGGAAGGGTTGGTAGTGTATGTGTAAGATCCGCGGTTGGTGCCATAGCCTGCACTATCATGTTGCACGTACTCGGGCTCATGCTCGGTGACAGGCTCACCGGCTCCGCTGCCAACATGCCCATTAGCCTGGGAGTAACGGTCAGACTTCACGTCAGCCTGCTCTACGTCCGGCGGCCCCCCTGAAGCCCTTGCCGTTGGAGGCGCCATGTCGTTCTTAATATACGTGTTGGCGGGCATAGTCTGGCCGTAAGGAGCCATAGGTTGGGTCAAGGGTTGCTGGGGTGCATATTGGGGGTGGGATGGAGGAGCGGCTGAGTAGTACGATTTCGAGCTATCGTATCCGGGCTGACTCTGGTATTGTTGCATCCCTTGCATGTTACTGCCTGGGGGAGTCGTGGCTGGAGTCGTAGGCATCGATCGTGCGTTACTCAATGTCGTGTCGATCGATAGAGGTTGGGTGTTAGGGACACCGGAGTTCATTCCTTGGTTCCCCCATTCATAAGAGCTCCCCTGGTTGGTGATACCCATGAGACTGGATGCACTGGCAGGAGGGGTCGGGAACGTGTGAGCGCGGTCAAGACCAGGCCTGGCAGCAGACTGCGATGTCATTGCGTGAGGCTGAGACATGTGCGATGGAACCGGCGTTTGTAGCGAGTGATGATGATGCAAGGCAGGGGGTTGTGGGCCCTGTGAAGCCCGCGCGGCTTGAGGACCTTCTAACCGCCGTTGCTGTGACTCTTGCACAACCATGTTTGTCCGGGTTTGGTTAGTGGGATGGTACAGAAGACCTCCAATATTGTGCACAAACAAAGGGTATAAAAGGTCTGTGATCTTCTCTTTGTTGGCAAACTCCAAGGCACGTTCAAATGGGATCCTGAAAGGCTAGTTAGACTCATATAAAACAGACGCCGAGTGACGATCATACCAAACTCCCTTTAGGTGCATTGGACCAATCTTGACTACATGGCGAATCTTCTCGCTCTTCAGTATCCCGTCGCGACGACCTCTAGTCATCCCAGCCACGTTGAGCAGTTTGGTCCCGTTTATCATATGATTGTCTACATACTGTCAGCAAATGATTTTCGGGAAAACGAAGGCATCAATCGAAATGCTCACCTTCTCGGCGGGCAACACAGACGCCTCTAGCTTCAACCTGGTAGCAAAGACTGCCTTCGTCCTCCCACAAGGTGGCTGTGACCCGTGGTTTGGCACCGGGCGGAGCTATTTGGCCTGTAGCATCGTACACGTAGCCTTGCATAGGCGTTCCGGTGTTGTTTCCGTATCCCGGAGGCGCAACTGTGTGGCTGGTAACTAATGAGAAGGGGTTATTAGTACTTTACGGTAACGGTGATTATCTTCGCAGACCTACCTGGCAATGGTAACAGCTGAGTTGGGACCTGGCTGCTCACCGATGTTGTCGGAGGCTGCGGGCCAGGTTGGGACGAAGTGACACCGCCAGGATAAGCATATGGAGAATATGAACTGGCGGGGCCATAGGTAGTCGATGCCGGCTGCAATACAGGCGGTTGTTGATGATATTGGGGGTAATGGGCGATACCACCAGCAGTCGCCGCCTGAGAAGCATAGGGCTGTGCCGATGACAGATGTGATGAGTGAACATCCATGTATGGTTGTGTATGATTCATACTGCCAATTGCAGTCGGATTGGGATAGTAGCTATCGCCCACGGCGTTTTGCGGGATGGAATACTCCTGTGGAGCGGAAGAATCCAGAGAGAGCCGGCCCTGACCACCAGCCGCCAAGTCCGCAGACTGCGGGGGGCTCCTGGCCTCGTTGATAACGGGTGCGGTTCCCGATAGACTTGTCCGAGCACTCGCGTTATGGGATGCCGAGGCCTCTTCGTAGCTGGTCCGGTAGGACTGGCCCGAGATTGGCGGCTGCGAGGCCGTCGGTAAACTGAGAGCCGGGAGTTTGTCACCAGACAATAAAGGTCTCTCAGCAGCGTGGTGATTATACCAAGGAATATCAACAGGACCTCTGGTGTGGACCTGGGAAATCGACGGCAGCTCCAGCTTTTCGGTTTGTCGGGGTAACGGTTCTAATAAACAAAGTGATTCAGAATTTTTAGCCGTTGGAATCGAGATGTCCAACGTGCCACACTGATAGTTGTCTTCTTTTTTTGCCTGTTTCTTTGTCGTAGTTCCGGTCAGATCACGGAAGTGCGGGTCGTCGACATGCAAGTGATGCCACTAGTTAATTCGTCAAGTACAAAGGAAACCAATATCGATGCTAGCACCGTTTGGAGCGAATGCAGATATGTCGTCAAGGGATAATGAATAGCTTCAACAAATGCGAGAAATGCAAAGTGCAATCGTGGTAAGCTCGTTGGAAATCGTAACCGTAAAACGCTTCAAGATCGCTGGCGTAACTGGACCGAGAAAATCGCTATGCAGCGTAAACGGACAGAAATCTACATCCAATTATGTACGAAGATTGGAGTGATCGGACGCAAAACGATGAAAGCCAGACAAAATAGCGCGCTTGCGGCTGGACAACAGAAATCGCTCAACCAAATCAGAAGCACGAAATCATGGGTCTCGTATCAAGTCGTAAGAAGAGCGCGGGGAAGGGCGACGTGACAGTCCAGCATCAAACGTCGAATGCTTCTCTGACGACTGACGCCGTTTCGTACTATCGATGAACAAAACACGCACAAGTAGGCAAAGTGTTCGCTTTTCTTATTCTTGTTGCAACGAACAGAGGGAACAAGCTCGTAACAGGTCGTAGCAGGTCGTCGAAGATAACGTGCTGCTTCAAGGTGAACAAGGGTACAGTCTAGATAAAACAAATACAACAGAAGTAAGTAGGGCATTCAAGTCATCACAACAGTCGTGTCGAACAAGAATATAAAAATGAAGAAGAGACGGTGATCGTAGCAAGAGAAAATCCTAAATGGAACGTCGGGAGGATGTATAAAAGGTGTCAAATGAAAGGGATGCTGCACTAACGAGGCGGACAAGGGAGACTGGTACCGTGAACAGGGAGAAATTCAAAAAATAGAAATTCAAAATTCAGATCAAGAAATACGTAAAAAAATAAAAGGCAAAAATTCCTAGACACTCCCGGCGTGGACGATCATGGCAGGCTCAGGCGGCGGTGGAGGAACGAGAAGAATGATTGCAATGCAGCAGCAGATCATACACGAAAGGTGGAGGAGGCTGGGGGGTACAGCAAACGCAGGACCCAACTAAGCCTAATCCTTCCAAGTCTCTCTGCAGCCGCCGAGTGGATTGACTGATTCTGGACCACGACCCGGAACGGAGCGCTTTTGAGACACACACACGTCTATAGATAGAGAGGCGAAGAGAAAGTGTAGGAAGGGGGGAAGAGTGAGAGAAGAAAAAAAGAAGAGAGAGAAAACAAAAAATAAAAAAAATAAGGCGGGAAAGTAACAAAAAAGAAAAAGAAAATTAGAAAGTAGCGAGATGGTTACCAAATTTTTTTTCTTTTTTTTTTTAATTGTTCCTTGTGTTGTAAGATCGGGGAGGATGGAGCTGAACTGGGAGAATGGGATCAGAGGAAGCTCTCACCCATGGGCAGCGAATAAACGGATGACGGATGGGGTCGAAGAGGGGAAAAGGTTGGGACGTGACGGGGCGAGGAATTTTGGGTCGGGAGGGGAAAAGAAGTGGGAAAAGGAAAAAGAAAAAGCGATAAGTGCGAAGGAAAATAGAAATTCAAAAATAAAAATAAAAAAGAAAAAAG